CAGGTAAACTGGGACAGAACCATTTAGGGCTTTGTAGGCTAAAGCCAGCACTTTGGATTGTGCTCGGAAGCAGACTGGCAGCCAGTGGAGCAGACGTAACATGAATCTGACTGCCACACGTTGACCATTTGGCAAGCTTGACAGTTCAAATGGTGTCAAACCACATCCATTCTATCATAACACATGTAACATGACAACGTTTGTTCCTGGATCATCAATGTCATTTCCTAATCGCTTCTATCATTAAAACATAGAGAGAAAGTGTATCAAACTGTAAAAACTTTGTTTTTGCGGGAGGGACATTGTGCAGCAGATTTTGCTCTCGTTTTTCAATGAGACTCACTATCGAGTCTCAACCAATTCAATGCAGTTTGTGCCACAAAAACAAAGTTTCTGGAGTAGAATAACGACTTTCAAAGTAAGGACCACGCAATTAAAAGTAATAACACTTTTAAACCAGGAACAGATTTTTTTTTCAAATTTTGTTACATAGTGTTGCTATTATTATTATTACATATATACTAGAGCATAAACCTAGTTTTTTAGCTCTTTCTTAAGGTTGAAAAAGCCCCCCCTCGGCTTATACTCGAGTCAAAGTTATTTTTTATTTTACTCTGTTATTATTTTATTACATTTACTATTTTACTCTATTATTACATTTACATTATTTTATTCTATTGTTATTTTTATTACATTGATTATTTTTCTATATTTATTATTATTATTATTATTATTATTATTATTACATTTACTTTCTTTGACTCCCTTATTATTTTTATTACATTTATTCTTCTTTGTTATTTATTATTATTATTACATTTATTATTTTACTCTATTTATTATTATTTTATTATTATATTTATTATTTTACTCTATTTATTGGTATCTATTTTTATTTTTAAATTTACCAGTAGCTGCTGCATTTCCTACCCCTGGCTTATACTCGAGTCAGTATGTTTTCCCAGTTTTCTGTGGTAAAATTAGGCGCTTCGGGTTTTATTTGGGTCAGCTTATACTCGAGTATATACAGTATGTTTATTTTTACTCCGCTTCAATCAAGAGTATTTTAATAATGCACCCTGCCTCTTCTAATGTCTATGAGGCTGGGTGGCCATCTGCCAGGAGGGATTGGATAGTGTCTTCCTGAATGATAGAATGGAACTGGACTGCAAGGGCCCTTGGGGTCCCTTCCAATCTAGGTGGGTAATAAAAAAGCATTATTATTATTATTATTATTATTATTATTATTATTAAATACAATATAAAATAATAAAATATTTTAATGATGCAACCTGTCTCAGTGAGAGGTGGGTAAAGAAAAAGCATAGTAATAACATCTACACAAATGACCAGCCACTGCCAGAAGGGACAGAGAGTTTCATCTATGCTGATGATCGTGCCAT